CCACTTTGAAGACTCACTTAGCAAAGAAAAGTTCTTTCCATAAAACATCTGAGATAGTCACTGGTTCTAAATGCAAGGAGGGCTAGATGTATGTGGGGGAGGTGGGAGGGTACTATCTCAGGACAATCACTAGGTTTCTGCCTTGCGTAACTGTGTTTTGTCTGGTGTGATGCCCAGGTTTATTGGGGATGATGATAGGTTTTGTTGATAATATGATAAAATTGTATACTTTTTTTTACATAGTTAAAATATATTTTGGAATTGAGTAGGTAGTTGGGGCCCAAGGAAGACTTTTGAGTCACTGTGTGGGATATATCCATTGAACGCTCAGTTGAGTGAGGTCCTGTGTTGAATTCCTGTCATATGCACATAATTTTCGTGGGGCTTAAATTTTATTTCTGAATTACAGGAAGATAAAAATTCTCTTTAGCAAAACTAGATACATTTTATTTTGGGGGGAGTATTAAGAATTACCTGTTTTTCATTATAAATAATTAATAATTTTCTGGATACATTTGAAAGTAGATTGTTTATATGTCAGTTTTGTAGACTTTTAGCAAATTTGATCAACTTTTGTTTTACTACAAACCCATATAAGTGTAAAGTATCTTCAATAGCTGTTTTGTTAAGTATTAGCATATGGAAATGGTATTTCATGTGTTCAAAATGTAGCCTTAATAGTTAAATATATGAAAAGCTTAAAATACTAAGATTTCTAACTGGAATGATATAATTGGGACATTGTGCTCATAGATTGTTGTGATATTATTTTGTATTAAAGCAGGATCTGTGATAAGCTCATGGTGACAATTAAAAATGATAGATACATGTAATCCTCCCATATTAATTTTCCATTTCTGCCCAACAGATAACCAAAATCCTAGCAGCTTAAAACCACACTCACTTATCATCTCTCAGTTTTGTTGGTCAGAGGTCCTGCACAGTGCAGCCAGATTCCCTGCTCAGGGTCTCTCCAGGGTGGCATCACAGTGCCAGGTGGGGCTGTGACCTCCTTCTTGGCTCGCTGGTTGTTGGAAGAATTCCTTTTCTTGCAGCTGTAGGCTGCAGTTTTGTCATTGACTGTTGGCCAGGGACCACTCTCAGCTCTAGAGGTACCTGTAGTCCCTTGGCATAGGCCCTCTGGGTGATTCACAATATGGTAGCTTGCTGCAGTTTAAGGTTGGCAAGAGCACAGCTCTCTTGACACCCACTCTCTAACTTTCTAAGGCCCACTGATTAACTCAGGCCCATTCAGACAGTCTTTCTTTGATTCATTCAAAGTCAGTTGTTTGGAATCCTCACAGGAGTGATATTTCATCATATTCAGCGGTCATGCCCACTTTCAAGGGGAAGTTATACAGGGAGTGTATATGATGAGCAAGAATCTTGGGGGACAATCTTAGAATTCTGCTCCCATGCCCAACTTATAAATCAACTTTGCTTCCATAATTTAGCAAGTTGAACTTTGGAGATTCAGAATGCATTTCTCCAATGGGTCCTTTTTTATGAGGCAGTAAGTTCATGGGGCAGACTACAAAATTGAAATTAATTCATAATGTCATTTAATTGTTCATTTTATTAAAATACCACTAGTGTATTCTAATGCAAATATTAAAAAAATAACAGAAAAATAGAGTATAACATGTTAGTATTTTTAATTTGAATTATAGTATCACCTTTCTCCCTCTATATTTTAACAATTCAGAATGCTTGCTCTTGAAACAACAAGAAGACAAAGAATGCAAATAAATAATATGATCATTAATAAATAAATAACAACCCAAGGGTAAACTCTTTCATGTCCTCACAACTGTGAACCTGCTTTTGCCAGCCCCAGTATAATACAGTGTCACTGGGAGATGGTGATCTGATTAGCCTTAGATGGGATTAGGGTTGGGGAGGCAAGAAAGGGGTAGGGCCTTGGAGGATCAGAGGAAGATTTTTGGAGATCCTTTCCTCTTCATTCTGTCCTCTGAGTGGGTTGGAAGAAAAGGTGAGTGTGTGAGAGTAGACCGAAAAAGATGAATGCACAGGATCAAAGGTGGAAGGAATAACTTTTCTAGCCTTGATCTTTGTCCCTTTCCCTGCTGCCCATTTTTGGTACCAGGAGCTGGTGGGCTCACTGAGGAAGTAGGGAGCTTGTGACAGTGAGGACAGAGCAGGAGAAGTAATTCTTTAGTGGGAGGCAGTGCTGGCAGGGCATCTGGATGGCCTGTTGGTGGAAGGAAATAAATCTGGGGTGATTAAATGGAGAGTTTTTCTCTCTAATACATTTCATAAGTACTAGTAAAGCAGTTTGTTGAATTTGAAAGATACCGATTAATGAATGATCCTTACCAGACTTAAACGTCTCCATTCAAAGTAACCTGTCCATAATTTCTCTTGCTTTTGTCTGTCTGATGCTAAAAGGGGAAGTTGAGCATTTAAAAGACAAGCCATATAAGCAAAGCTCATGGAAACATGGATTACTGAGCAGGCATTAAAATGCCTGATATCTTCTTAATTTCTCTAAAAAACTGTCATATCAAATACACCACAGTGATGACCTCTGTTGTAGATCATTCAGACCTGGCTTGCTTTACATTTATTTATATTTTGTAGGGAAAGAAATTTTATTTTCAAGGATTTATGTACATAATGGTGAATGAAAAATTGTGTTTCGACTATAAAAAGCTCACTTTATTCCAACCCAGCATTCAAGGTTTATGGTGATACCAGTTTGAATCTGGAGTGTTGTTGCTATTCCCATTCTTCCATTCCTAAAAGACGGTCTTAGAGGAACACTTTCTACAATTTCCAGTCAAAACTATGACACATCAAACAAAGTAATGAGTTAAACAAGTTTCTGCTTATATGGTCATATAAAATGAAATAAACTGTGTATTTTTTTTGTTTTGTTTGTTTTTTTTTGCTACAAATTGCCTTCACTCTGTGCACTTTTGGTATATTCTGGAATAAAAACATCTCAAAATATTATGATTCAAGAGTCAAGATGACCCACTCAGGAGGCTATAAAAATTGGTTTGAATAACTAGAACTGTGAAATGAAACCAGTTTAAAATATGAAATAGTTCTAAGCACCAAGCTTAAAGACATTAGCCCTAGTAGAAAACAGAAATCATTAAAGCTACACAATAACAAATGCAAACATCCTGAACCTGTATTTCCAGCAAGTGACACCCCATTGGCCAACAGGTCTCACTCACAGCCATGAGGTGTAACTCTTCTTTCTCTTTTCCTTTCTCTCATATGGAAGATCCTCAGAAATGACCATGGAAAACCTATGAATCATTGGTATTTACCCTGTCAACCAATTCCTGAAGAGATAACAGCCACAACTCTGAGATGATTATACATGTAGTGTTTAGGTGATGAATTTCTATACTTCAAAAAACTCTGAAAGACTGAACTGTCTATTTCAGAACCTAACTTCCTAGCAGCTTTTGTCCTTTTGAAGTAAGACAAAGGACAATTTACTGCTACACAGGGGTCAAATACAGCTAACTTGTCCATGGTCAAGTTTTACTTGAATAGACAATACAACTGGCAGACCTATGTACATGCTTGCTTTTTACAATAATTTTTGATGAACTTTTTTAAAAATAAAGAAATTCTAGGCTAAAAAATGTAATATTTGATCTTTTTGCTGATGTAAGGAGGAGGGGATGTAGAAGTCTCCCCTTCAAATTTTGAGTCATCTGAAGTGATTTGCTCAGGAGTTATGATACTCTATGGAAAAGTCATCAGTCCAGTTGCAAGGCTTTGTTTTCCTTTACTTTAAAAACACCCTCATTTTATTCATCTAAACTGTCCAAATATGCATATGAATGTCAGCAACTTCTCTCACTCACTTGAATTCCTCATTTTCTTATATACAGAAATTACGAAGGACAGCTAAAGAGGATTATAATATGAAGAAATTAAGAGTTGGCCAAGAAAAACAGGTAATCAACTAAAAATGGCCATAATAATCCAGATTTAAACAAAGAATACATATGTATCATGGATAACATGATAAAACTTCCATCTAATATCATAATTAATTTATACTAGATGACTTTACTAGTATATGAATTAATATACTAGATTTATGTCTTCTACCCTAGCTGTAAATATATTAAACAATTATTTCTTCAATCATTTCTCTTTCCCCTAGTGGTGGGATTTAAAACTGATTAATAGTATTTAGCAATTCAGTAATTTAGAAAATATAAAAAGGCAAATAGAAATAGTGGTTTTAGGAAAATAGAAACAGTATTGATTTTCACGTACTACTTGTTGGGGTGAAGTCTTCTTTTGGGAGTACTGGTGAATAGAACATTTTGTATTTTCTGAGTTACTGCTTTCTGGTCTCATCACAGACGGAAAACTCCCAAATCTCATGTAGACCCAGATTATCTTGGCAAAACTCTCCAGCTCCCAGCACACAGCACAGTGATTTCATCTGTTCTCTTTTTGCAATGTGGACCATGTTGCTCACTTATGTTGCCTTATGGGTATACGAAAGATAAATTTCCAAAGCCAAAATATTTCTGGGCATTGTGCAAACCCTGTTTCCCACCCTCCTCTAATCTTCAAAATCTAAATCAAAACAGTGGGGGGAAAAGTCAAGTCTTAAAAATTCTCTCTTTCTAAGAGATCTGAATACAGCTTATGTCCTTCCCTAATGACCTTCAGTTATAAATGATCCTGGTGAGAGCTGAGGAGTAAAATAAATGACAGGTTTTTAAGCAGGAAATATGTAATGTTATCACCAAAGGGTTTAATTTATCTGTACATGATATGCTGTCTGTGAGGATTGAGTTAAGGAAGTCCCCTGAAGCATAAGTAGTGTTTTTGACCATGATTTTTCCCCACACATGGTTGGGGCATATGTTGTGGTATAACCCTGAGGACTTGGATGATTTTAGCTGAACTCTTCTATGCTGGGCCCCAACCCCCAACATGTTCTTTATCCTTGTCCCCTTGGTTGGCAGTTAATGAGATGGATGCTTTGGAGTTCATTTTATAAACAGGATGTAAAAGACCATGATGATACAGGTGATTGCCCCATGCAGCCTGGTTCCAATCACAGCACCTTTGTAAAACACACCCAAACCTCCCTTCTTAGATAGCAGCCAGTTTTTGAGATGAGGAACTTTCTTGAAGTGGGCACAGGTGTAAACAAAGAGCAAACCAAAGACCAGAATACCATCCAAGGAGTACACATCTGTCATGGTTGCTAGGCTGAGCCCTGGCTAGGGAGTCTAGGATCAGCAGTGGCAGCTAAAGGCAGGGCAACCCAGCTCCTACTGGACACTTCCTGAGTCCAGCCACAGTGATGGGTAGGAGCCACAGTACGTAGGCAATTACATTTCTTTGTTTTGTCTTTAGGTTTGATGAGGTGGCCCTCTCTATACAGAAAGAAAAAAAATGTTAATAAAAAAACTGAGAATTATCCAACTTGTTATAAGGTATGTTTTGAAAGTGCTTATTTTTGGCTTTACATCATATAATTTTTCATATTGCATTAATATGTACCTATAACCAGACTTCTGGCCAAGATGGAGGTGTAGGTAGACACACTGTGCCTCCTTGCACAACCAAGATAGGGACAACAACAATTTAGAAACAGAATAACAACCAGAACTGACAAAAAAATTGAACTGTATAGAAGTCGGACAACCAAGGAGTTAAAATAGACACATTCATCCAGACCGGTAGGAGGGGTGGAGTTGGGCAGCCAGGTGGAGAGGGGTTGTGGAACAAAGAGCATTGGGACTGGTGTAAGGCATCCTGGGAGGGCAACACCGCAGCAGGCAGACCCTGGGTGTGCAAGCAGCAGCTGGCAGACCCTGGCCAAGGGGTGGCAATGAGCAGACCCAGCAAGGTGGCGACTGTGAAGCAAGGCACTGCGTGCAAGGTGGCTGGCTGACTGGGCAGTCCCAGGGTCCCAGTGCTGGGAAATAGAGCCTCAGTGTACTGATTGAAAACACCTGTGGGTCTTGAGGCACAGGGAGAGACTCCCAGCCTCACAGGAGAGGTCATTGGAAAGACCCACGGGGTGCACAAGCCCACCCACAAAGGAACTAGCACCAGAAAGGCCCAGTTTGCTTGGGGGAAACAGGAGAAGGGACTGAAGTCTGACAGAGAGCAGAGCAAGTGCCATTGTTCCCTCTTGGACTCTGCCCCCACATACAGCATCACAACTCAGTGACTGGACTGACCTGCCCTGGTGAACACCTAAGGCTCTGTCCCTCATACGTAACAGGTGCAAAAAAAAAAAAAAAAAAAAGATGGCTCAAACAGAAGAACAAATGAAAGCTCCAGAACCAATACTTTTAAGTGACTGAGAGATAGCCAACCTATCAGACGCAGAGTTCAAACCACTGGTGATCAGGATGCTCGCAGAATTGATTGACTTTGGTCACAAATTAGATAAAAAAATGAAGGCTACAATAAGTGAAATAAAGAAAAATGCACAGGGAACCAATAGTGATGGAAAGAAAGCTGGGTCTCACATCAATGGAGTGGACCAGAAGGAAGAAAGAAACATACAACCAGAAAAGAATGAAGAATTAAGAATTCAAAAAAAATGAGGAGAGGCTTAGGAACCTCCAGGACATCTCTAAACATTCCAACATCCGAATTATAGGGGTACCAGAGAGGGAAGGGGAAGATCAACAAGTGGAAAATTTATTTGAACAAATAATAAAGGAGAACTTCCCCATTCTGGCAAAGGAAATAGACTTCCAGGAAGTCCAGGAAGCTCAGAGAGTCCCAAAGAAGTTGGATCCAAGGAGGAACACACCAAGGCACATCATAATTACATTAGCCAAGGTAACAATGAAGGAGAGAATCCTAGAAGCAAGAGATAAGGAAACAGTAACCTACAAAGGAGTTCCCATCAGGCTGGCAGCTGATTTCTCAAAAGAGACCTTGCAGGGAATAAGGGGGTGGAAAGAAGTATTCCAAGTCATGAAAGGCAAGGACCTACATCCCAGATTGCTCTATCTAGCAAAGCTTTCATTTAGAATGGGAGGGCAGATCAAGTGCTTCTCAGATAAGGTCAAGTTAAAGGAGTTCATCATCACCAAGCCCTTATTTTATGAAATGTTAAAGGGACTTATCTAAGAAAAGAAGATTAAAAAAAACATGTATAGTAAAAGGACAGCAAACTCATAATTATTAACAACCACCCCTAAAACAAAACCAAAAGAAACTAAGCAAACAACTAGAACAGGAACAGAACCACAGAAAGGGAGATCACATGGAGGGTTAGCAACAGGGGAGTGGGAGGAGGAGAGAAGGGGAAAAGATATGGAAAATAAGTAGTATAGATGGTAGGTAGAAAATAGACAGGAGGAGGGCAAGAATAGTATGGGAAATGTTGAAGCTAAAGAACTTATGACACATGGACATGAACTAAAGTGGGGGAATGTGGGTGGGAGAGGGTGTGCAGGGTGGAGGGGAATAAAGAGGGGTAATGGGACAACTGTAATAGCATAATCAATAAAATATATTAAAAAATATATATACCTATAACCAGATTCTATAGATACTTGTATATTTTTAAATTATATTTATTATTTTTTTCTAGAACTTGTGTTCACATGTTTTTATTGTTGTACTTGAACAACCATTTCCCCCTCCCCCACCACTACTCCTCCCCACCTCGGCTATCCCTACCACCCACCCTTGATCTTACCCCCTTTTGGTTCTATCCATGTGTCCTTTGTACATGTTCCTGAAAACACTTCCCCATTTTTCCCCCATATCTCCTCCCTCCTCCTCTCTGGTTACTGTCCATTTGTTCTTAATTTCAATGTCTCTGGTTATATTTTTCTTGCTTGCTTGTTTTGTTGATTAGGTTCCACTTATAGGTCAGATTATATTGTATTTGTGTTTCACTGCCTGGCTCATTTCACTTAGCATAATGTTCTCCAGTTCCATCCATGCTGTCAGGAAGGGTAGGAACTCCTTCTTTCTTTCTGCTGCATTGTATTCCATTGTGTAAATGTACCATAGTTTTTGGTGCACTCATTTGCTGATGGGCACTTAGGTTGCTTCCAGCACTTGGCTATTGTAAACTGTGCTGCTATGATCATTAGGGTGCAGAGGTTCTTTTGAATTGGTGTTTCAGGATTCTTAGGGTACAATCCCAGCAGTGGAATGTCCAGGTCAAAAACACAGTTCTGTTTTTAGTTTTCTGAGGCAATTCCATACTGTTTTCCATAGTGGCTGGACCAGTCTGCATTCCCACTATCAGTGTTCCAGGGTTCCCTTTTCTTCACAACCTTGCCAGCACTTGTTTGTTGATTTTGTTATAATGGCCATTCTGACTGGTGTGAAGTGGTATCTCATTGTGGCTTTAATTTGCATCTCTCTGATGGCTAGTGATGTTGAGCATCCTTTCATATATCTCTGGGCCCTCTGTATGTCCTCCTTGGAAAAATGACTGTTTAGACCCTTTGCCCATTTTTTAATTGGATTATTTGTCTTCCTGGAGGGAAGTCATTTGAGTTCTTTATATATTTTGGAGATCAAACCCTTGTCCAAGGCATCATTTGTAAATATATTGTCCCATAGGGTTTGTTCCCTTTACATTTTGCTGATTTTTTTTTTTAGTTGTGCAGAAGCTTTTTATTTTGTTGAAGTCCCATTTGTTTATTCCTTCCTTTGTATCCCTTGAGCTAGGGGACATATCAGTAAAAATTTGCTATGTGGAAATCTGAGATTTTCCTGCCTATGTTCTCTAAAATTTTTATGGTGGTGCAACTTATATTTAAGTCTTTCATCCATCTTGAGTTTATTTTTGTGTATGGTGTAAGTTGATGGTTGAGTTTCATTCTTTTTTCACATGTAGCTGTCCAGATTTCCAATGCTATTTGTTGAAGAAGCTATTTTTACTTCATTTAATGCTTTTGTCCCCTTTGTTGAATATTAATTGACTATAGAGACCTGGGTTTATTTCTGGGTTCTCTATTCTTTTCCATTGATCTATATGTCTGTTCTCATGTGAGCACCAGGCTGTTTGGATTACAGTGGACTTGTAATACCTTTGGTTATCAGGTATGGTGATCTCTCCTACTTTGTTCTTCTTTCTCAAAATTGCTTAGGCTATTTGGAGTTGTTTATCGTTTCATATAAATTTTTTTTAAAGATTTTATTTATTTATTTATAGAGAGGGAAGGGAGGGAGGGAGGGGGAGAGAGAGAGAGAGACATCATTGTGTGGTTGCTGGGGGTCATGGCCTGCAACCTAGGCATGTACCCTGACTGGGAATCAAACCTGCGACACTTTGGTTCGCAGCCCGTGCTCAATCCACTGAGATACGCCAGCAGAGCTTCCATATAAATTTTTGAAATATTTGTTATATATATGTGAAATATGTCACTGGTATTGTAATAGGTATTGCATTATGGGTAGTATGGACATCGTGATGATGTTAATTCTTACAATCCAAGAGCATGGTACATGTTTCCATTTGTTTGTGACTTCCTTAATTTCTTTCTTCAGAGTTGTATAGTTTTCTGAGTATGGGTCTTTTAATTCCTTTGTTAGGTTTATTTCTAGGCACTTCATTTTTCTTACTGCTATATCAAACGATATTTTTTTTCCTGATTTCTCTTTCTGATATTTCATTGTTGGTATACAAAAATGCCTTTGATTTATGAGTATGACTTTGTATCCTGGTGTTTTGCCAAATTCACTTATTAGGTTGAGTAGTTTTTTGGTGGAGTCTATAGAATTTTCTATGTATGCTATCATGTCATCACCAAACAATGACAGTTTTGCTTCCTCCTTTCCAATTTGGATGCCTTTTATTTATTTTTCTTGTCTGATTGCTGTGGCTAGGACTTCCAGTACTATGTTGAATAGATGTGGTGAAAGCAAACATTCTTGTCTTGTTTCTGATCTTAATGGGAAAGCTCTTAGCTTTTGCCCATTGAATATAACATTGGCTCTATGTTTCTCATATTGGCCTTTATTATGTTTAGGTATGCTTCTTCTATTCCCACTTTGCTAAGTGTTTTAATCATAAATGGGTGCTGTACCTTATCAAATGCTTCTTCCACATCTATTGATATGACCATATGATTTTTGAGTTTCCTTTTGTTTGGTGATGCATTATGTTTATTGATTTGCAAATATTGTACCATTCTTGCATCCCTGGGATGAATCCCACCTGATCAACGTGTATGATCAATTTAATGTATTGCTGGATATGATTTGC